GTCAGTTACACTTGGAGCCTTGGCACCTGAGTATCAGTTGCTTGATGCCCAAGAGGGCCTAAGATCAAAGTTTGAAGCCCCTTTGTCTGAGAAAAAGTTTAGGAGAAAAAAAGGCTTTTAAAACGTTTGTCCTTTGTAAATGGGGCAAGCTGCCTGAAATTCTTTAAATGTTAAGCAAAGTTGCCCAGCTGGTTTAGGCTAGTTGGGTCAAAATGGGGAGAAAGGGTCCCCTAAAGGGTTTTTAGCCAAATTTATAAGAGAATTTAAGAATGGGCACAACTAGAAACTTATCATTTCATTAGAATGTTAAAGAAAAATATTTCCAGGGCAGTCGAGCTGGCAATCTTGGCTCTTGGCAGCTGCCTGGAGGGGGTAAAGAGCGGGAAGGAAAAAAAAGCCTTGGGGTCATTCAGGTTTAAAGCATGCATGGAAGATCAGACACATGGCGGGCTGGCAGGCAGGCATACAGCAGGGAGTAGAAAGCTTTAGTATGGGATGGGAGAGAGAGAGGAGAAGGATACAGAGCATTTGTATGTGTTGGACTGGACAGTATCAGAAATCATCCTGAGTAAAGTGAGGAAGAAAGGCAGTGGAAGAGGACAAAGACAGGAAAAAAGGATGGAAGACAGCAGACCTTGCAGGCCCATGGCAAAGGAGGGGGGAGGGGGTGAGATGCCAGTGGTGAGCCACGGTGGGGGAACCGAGATAGGGAATGGTTGAAGGAGGTCCATCACAGAGACCACAGTGCTGTCTGGGAGGGGTGAAAATCAGTGGGAAATAAGATCAAAAGAAGTCACAGGCAAGGCAGAGTGTTCCCAGTGAGGAGAGCCAGAAAGAGGTGAGAGCAAAGCAGAGGGCTGGGGAGAGGAAGAGAGAAAAGAAGTGTGCCTGAGAGCCAGGTTAGTGGCGTTGGAGAAGTCCAGGCAGGTCCCTTGAAGTAAGAACTGGGTTTTGGCACCATCTGATAGATAAAAAGTTGGTGGAGAACGAGCAAATGGATAATGAGGCACTGAGGCACAGCTAAAACTTCATCAAAATAGGGTTTATTAGCAAAGGAACACATGGGACAGATTCCCTTCTGGGCATGGAAAATGTCTGCCTGGGTCTCCAGCT